GTACACAGTATATTGTGTACATAAATATAGTAAAAGTACACAGTATAGTGTGTACATAAATATAGTAAAAGTACACAGTATAGTGTGTACAAGACCGTAGTAAAAGTACACAGTCTAGTGACTAACGAACATCGTTCTGAAGGAAGAGATGGTTTGAACAACCTTTCTCTAGTTTACCTTCTGAGGGTTGTCAGATATATTTGATTAAATTATTTACCTTCTGAGGGTTGTCAGATATATTTGATTAAATTATTTACCTTCTGAGGGTTGTCAGATATATTTGATTAAATTAAAGAGCAGGAAGTTCTTTGCAGAATACAAATGAACTTCAAAGGATTGTGTTTTCCAGACTGACAGATTTATTCCCCTAAAATTATTTCATTCAAATGGATTATATTTACAGGATCTCAACTCATGTAATTTAAAACTATTTATTTTTCATCATAACTACCGGGGTATACATGACAGGACTTTAATTAAGAATTATTATTTTTATTATTATTATTTAGATAAACTGAATAAAGTGGAAACAAATTAATTTGTGTATGTCTGCGTAAAGATATGGCACAAGCTCGGCTTTTTTAAACGAACTTGAGTTCCCAGAGATGTCGTTTGAGTTCTAAAATATTTAAATTAAACCTTAGCATGAAATAAAAGCATAAACCTTGAAACGAGTTGTTCTTACCGACCGCAGGCCGTGCTGATGACACCGCCCACACCGAGAGTTTCTCCGGGGAAACCAGAGCAACTTGGTTTGGTGACTTCAGGGTGAAGTGGTGATGCAGATACTTCCTGGCACTGCCTGCGGTTAAACTCACGCCAGCCTGCACTTTGTTGCTGCTAAAGTACGACGGCACACACCTGTGCTGGTGCACAATGGGACTGACGATCACCAAACGATAACGTGGGCTCGCGCTTCTCTCCAGTCCCTCGTAGAGCTCCATTAACGCTTCGCTGACATCATACCCCAGCAGACCGGGGTTAACCAGAGAGTAGATCTTCTGCCAGTTTTGTCTGGAACCTTGGAAGAGAGCGCGGCGTAGAAAGATCTCCACCTCCTCTTTGGTGGTTTCCTCTCTGCACACCAGAACCTCGTCAGAAGACGGCAGCGGCTGCTCCGGACTCTCCATGTAGAAGGACAGAGTTGTGGTGAAAACCTCTGCCGTTGAACAAAGCACAAGATTTGGCTTCCCCTCCTGGAGGACCGATGGAAGGTTTCTGATCATGTGGAGCTGACTGGTTTCAGACAGACACGAGAGGAAGTGGGCCAAAGTCTGGATGTCCAGGGACTCATGGAGGTACTGAGACATGTCCTGCATGAACTGCATCCACAGACCTTCAAGACTCTCATCACTGACGTGATTAACATCTTCCTCCTCCTCCTCCTCAGAAGAAAACTCCATCAAATCCTGGTCCGTGTTCTCCACCGTGTGCCTCGGCTTAGCAGATGTTGCGTCCACAGAAGGTTCGTAAACGTCATCTTCCTCCTCAGAGTCAACACCTTCTACTTCGTCAGCCTCTGACGTTCGGCTCACGGCGCTCGTGTAAGCAGCTCTAACATCCGTTAGCGAGCACCGAGGTCTTACCGGGAACAGCAGGTGCCACAGCTGCTGTGGAGCGGGCGCCCGCCGCTGACACACTTTGTAAACCCACTGACTCAGGTACACCAGCTGCTCTGAGGTGTAGAGGTTCAGCAGGCTGAAGCTGCAGCGCATCTCGCCAATGAAGGAGCACCACTCTCTCTGGCAGGACTCCATAGACTGAGCGAGATCTTGGAGCTGCTCCGTCACCTCACCTTGATACGACATCTGTCTCCCGCTCAGAGACAGGAAGGTGATGGTGATGCACCGCTGCTGCGGACCGCAGTGGACCTCAGCGGACCACTTCCTGAACAGCATGTTGCCAGATGTTTGCATCTGAAGTAGGATGGTCCCCACTCTCTGAACTCCTTCAAAAACCTAAACAGAATACAGACTTTAAATAAAATAAAAAAGCTCTGTCTTTATTTAGATATTTCTTTAGTCTTACTCAAAGTGCCTCTGACCTGCGTGAATCTGTTGACTTGCTCTCTGCCGTGTTCCCCTTTGGAAGACATGAGCATGAGTTTATTCTGCAGCTCCAGCAGAACTTCAAGCTTGTACCTCTTCTCCTCTCTGCCCCTCTTCACCGTCACCTGCACCATGTTTTGAAGGCATCTCTGAACATGAACAGAACTAGTTAGAAAACGCCTTAAACCGTTCGTGTAGCACATTTTTAAATAAAGGGTCAATGACAAAGTCGTAACGAACACCGACCATCTCCGTGCTTTCGTCAGACCACCCGATGAGATAAACTCCGTTAGCGTTGATGGACGAGGCCAGAGAGAGCGAAGACTGCTCCACCGAGCCGTGAGTCTCCTTCAGCGCTTGCAGCCAGCCCAGCAACCGAGTCGACTCTCTCTGGAAACAAAACAACAGTTGGAGCCGTTTAGAGCAGGGGTTCTCAATCTGTTAGGGTCTGGGGAGAAAAATCTCCAGGGACTCCATCATCCGTCCATCCATGGAGAACATCATGAAGCTTCATGATAGACTCCATCATGAAACTTATGATGGACTCCATCATGAAGCTCATGATGGAGTCCATCATGAGCTTCATGATAGACTCCATCATGAAACTTAAGATGGACTCCATCATGAGCTTCATGATGGAGTCCACCATGAAGCTCATGATGGAGTCTATCATGAGCTTCATGATGGAGTCCATCATGAAGCTTATGATGGACTCCATCATGAAGCTTATGATGGAGTCCATCATAAGCTTCATACTGGCTGAAAATTGTTAACTGTCATTGTAATCCCAAATCGCCATGGGAATTTTATTTACAGTAGTCCTGGTTTATCGCGGGGGATCCGTACTCTGAAGACCCGCGATAAGTGACAAACCGCGGAGTAGGAATATTATTACAAGTAACAACAAAAAAGGTTGAATCATGTCATCTGGACTTCGTTTTTTTGTTAAAAAGAAACGTTTCGCCCCTCATCCAAGAGGCTTCGTCAGTCTGAGGCCTAGCCATCTGGTATTACCCAGAAGCCACCCTGACTCTTGTGTTTCAAGCCTGCCTCAGATACCCCTGAAGTCTGGCCTTTTCACTAATGGTTACCATTAATGGCTAACCATTAGT